CGGCTGCCGGGCGCGCCCGGGGGTGCATGCGGCGGCGGCGCCTGCAAGCCTGTGCCCCTGGGTGGAGGAGTCGGCTTTTGCTTGCCTTGTGCGCTCGTGTCGAGGCGCACGCTTCTGAGTTCTTGCAGCTCGGAGGGTGTCGCCGTCGGCGGCGCCTCGTCTGCGCCGCTCTCCATTGCGAAGGAAGCGCGCGAATCGGGAGGTGGCAGGGTCCGTCTCTGAGCTAGGCTCCTCGCCGCCGAGGCCGGAGAGGAGGGCTGGTGGGGGCCGTGGGGGTGGTGGGGGCGGCGGGCGCGCGGGGGCGGGGGGGGGGGAGCAGGCGAGGGCGCGAGGCGGGGGAGAGGGAGGGGGGGGAGGTGCGGGAGGGGCTTGGCCGGCCGGCGCCTCGAAGCCCGAGCCGAGCAACAGCGGGTCGAGGTCGCCGCTCAGGTTGAGGGGAGGGCCAAGCGAGTCGCCCGACATCGACGCGAGAGACGACGTTGCGGTGCCGCCGCCGCCGCCCAGAGAAGCGATGGCGCTGCTGCCGAGCAAACTGCTCGGTCCACTCGAATGCGCGGCCACCGTCGGGTGTGGCGGCCCCGCCCCTCCGCCCCCTCCGGGCGCCGACAGCCAACTCCCTCCTCCTCCTCCTCCCCCCCCTCCCCCTCCCCCTCCTCCTCCCCCTCCCCCTCCGCCGCCGGCCTCTGCAGGCGCCGCCGGCTGCTCCATCGCCGCCGCAGCGGCACTGCGCTCCACCCTTGTGAGGGGCGGCCGAGCGACCGAGCATGACCCAACCGACCCAACAGCGCCGGGCGGGCCGCCCACCCCGCCAACCGCGCGCCCGCCGCTCGCCGCACCATGAGCGGCCGCCGCCGCCGCCTCGGCCGTCACCTGTGCCGACGCTGCCTCCCGCGCGGCCGCGGCCGCGGCGGCGACGGAGGAGTGGGGGGCGGGCGGCGCGGCGCCGTGATCGGAGAGGGGAAGGTCCGGGTCGGAAGAGACGGACGGCATGCGAGAGCCGGCCACCTGCGCGGGAGAGGTGCACTCGCGCTCAATCTCGCTCAATCTCGGGCGATCTCGGGCGATCTCGGCCACGCGCTCGGGGGAGAGGTGCTGCTGCCCGTGTGGGGCGGTGGGGCTGCGCAGCGCTACACGCAGCGGTCTAGTGCCGGTGTCTCAGTCAGCGAGGAGTGGCGTCGTGTCTGCTGGCCGGAGCCAGTCGCACGCAGCGTGTGCGTGCGTCGTGGGGCCGTCCTCGGTGCTACGAGGTGGTGTGCGCACGACTCTCTGGAGGGCCTGCCTGGGAGAAGGGCCCATATCTCCCCATATCTCGCCCAGATCTCGCCATATCTCCCCAAACCTGCCCTGGAGACGGGCCCGCCGGGACCGAGGCCGCCGGCGCAGGCGCGTGCATCGCCTTGAGCTTGCGCCCATCGAGGTGGACGCCATCGACGGCGAGGATGGCCTGGCGCGAGGGGGGGGGGGGGGGGGAAGTGGGAAAGGGGGTCGGAAGGCCCCCCCCGGGGGGCGCATTTCGGCGCATCATCTCCCGTCTCGGCTGCTCCCCCTCGACCCATTTTTCCCCAAATCTCCCCCAATCTCCCCACATCTCCCCATTTTTTTTGGCTGGTCCGCCTCGTCCCATATCTCCCCATATCTCCCCACATATCGGGCCTGCTCCGCCTCGTCCCAAATCTCCCCCAATCTCCCCACATCTCCCCGGATCTTTCACCTGTTCCGCCTCGGCCCATATTTCCCCATATCTCCCCACATCTCCCCCCATTTCCCC